CCTTTGGCCAGGCTTAAAAAATAGTTTTGTTTGCTCTAGGCTGGAACTGATTTAAAATGTGGGTAGGTAGGTAATTTTTTTTTTAAATTGCTTTGCAAAAAAAAAAATTCAGAAATAACTCTAGTTCCATGATCACCTGAAACATAATGCATTAAACTATGAACACAATTGCTATCAACATTTATTCTATGAAAAAATTAAAGAAATTCAAATTCTTTTGTAATACACACTTGCTGGTTGATATCGACTTCAATCGATGAAGTTAAATTGACTGTTGCCGACAATTTTACAAATCCAAAAATAAAGACTTGAAATTACACACATAAGAAAAATATTACCATACTAGTGGATTTCTACAATGAGTTGAAAGGTATGTACATATTTCCCTTTGCTAATTTTAAACACTTCATTGCACTGTATGTTGATGATAATAGATAGAGTTAGTGATATAGTGGAGAAAATGGATAATAAAATATAAATATTTAATTTAAAAAACTTTTTACATTCATTTATGAGGTTCTAGAGATTATACAGATGAAATGTGAAAACTGTAAGATAAAAAATCGTATTTTTACACTTCATAAAAAATCACCTTGCAGGTGAACTACTCAAAGTGAGAGTACAAATAATTACATTAAATAACGAATTTTTTTATTATAAATAGTAGAAAAAACGAAAATTAAATGTTTTATTTTTCTGAAACTACATACTTTTAATTTTCAAAATTTTTGGAACAAAATATGACATGAGAGATGCTACCAAATAAAAAAATTAGTAGCTGGTAGTCATAGGGTTAAAGAAGAATCATGTTTTGAGTGCTCTTTGTCATATCATACAGCTTACAGCAGCTTCTGTAAGCTCTTTACAGCTAAACGTACAAACACACAGTCTAGATCTATTGGAGTATATCTCTCACTAACTTTGTCTTACTTGAACTACATTTTGGACATGTATTTATAAATAGCAACTGAGGCCTAGAACCTTCCACACACTATGAGATACATTATGATGTACTAGCAGTCAATAAAAACTTAGAAAGTTCTAAAAAATGATGCAATAATACAACAATCGCCAATTTATGACAACTGAGCTACACAATGTATGATTCGCACAGTTACGTAAACAAACCTGTGATAAACTATTGCTTCTAAAACAAACTAAACTTAATACTCACGCTATACTTAAATTAAAACAGTCATGTATAGCTAACAATATTCTAACCATTATATGTCAATAAAAATTTTAAAGTCAGCAAATTTTGTTAGATGGGTTGATATATTGGCAGAAATTGGTGAAAATACAAATTTCCCAAGTCATAATGTCAGAAAAATCTCTCAGTCTGCCCCATTTTCAGAAGGTCAGTCAGGTTACAGCAAACAGAAATATTTCTAAGCCTGACCTTTTATCTTTTCATCGAATAATATTAAAATATCTTCTTTGGATCATATGAGTAATTTTACATTTTCACTTATAGTTTTCTTTTGATGTTTTATTTTCCTTTTGTTTTTTTATCTTTGATTATCTACATTGACACATATCAACAGGTGCCCATGGGCAATATAATGTTAACATCAGCACACATTAGCCCTCAAAAAAATGATGGTTTCACTTGGAAACTTTATGAAATTTGGTTGAGTGAGACAAAGCATAGAATAAATATAAAAATAATCCCTTCAAATATGAATTTTAAAACACAAATAATAAATAATTAACTAAAATATAAAAGTAAATCCTAAATACAATTTAAATGTCTGTGAAACTAATATGTATAAGGTGAGAAAAACAGCCAAGCACTTGGGGCAATGATGACCAACAATATGCTTATTGTGCTTCACCCAAATGTTCAGTGTGGTTCAGGACCAGCTTATCCAGCTTCAGAATCACATGTCAGACCACCCACTCCTGAGTCCAGTTGTTCCAGTTACCTACATGAAATGCATCAAGAACCAGTCCAGGTCTTCTTTCACCACTCCTTTGAATACTGGGGGTGAAATCTACTTTGTAACACTCACAGGAACCTTTGGTGTAGGTCAAAGCCTTTACCTTTCAAGATCTCAGCCAGCACTGAGATGCCACAGGTGCATTGTGGTAGATGTATTCAGGTACCCTGACATTTAGACAACTCAACATACAGTCCTGCATAACCCAAAGTTTCATTGTGAGCCATGATGGCCCTTGCAGGACATCTCCCAGCTCAGAGAGCCTCTTGTGTTCTTGGGTCATGGTCTTTACTCATGGGTACTCAAAGTCTCACCCACTAGGAAAACAGTTCTGACTAGTGGAGGTCATCCAATCCTTTTTTGGTGGTCTTGACCAGAGCTGAGGCTACAGTACTCTGGTTAGAAACAGCTTGGGCTTGCCAGGTACCATTTCACCTCAGAAACCCTCTGTTATCTTCACTTTCCTTATTTTGATATTGACCCTCAATAACAAGGTTTGATCTACCAGTTTGAGTGCATCAGACATCAGCTGATCATCCTGAGTCTATGACTGTAGGCCGATCGATGTCAGGAATATATGCAGCATCTCTCCTTGGCAGCAAACTCTGCCCCTTAGTAAGACACTTTAAGCTCAAGGGATGGAGTAAAGGCCAATATGTACAACTCTGCAATAAATCTTGTGGTCGTAGCATCAAAATTCTCCTTCCTACCTACTTTGTGGTATTCTCAGGTGAAACTGATTTCCACAAAAGTATTAGTTAGATCTGCTTCATAACAGGATGATCAATCAGGAAAATTGCAAAGTAAATCTAACTTTAACTAAACATCCAAGTTATGATAATAAGTATAACTGGTGATGTAAAGTGAAACAAAATCTTATATATAAAGAATAAAGTGTGCATACTTGCATACACAAGGACAAGTCACCTACTACAGCATCTGTAAACCAGTCAACAATTTTCTTCTTGCAAGATGTCTTTCTGTTAACTTATTCACTGTGTTGACCAAGTAGAACTGATGTTATCACATGCTCGTGGCATGGAGCAAAAAAGGTTAAAACCACTGCTCTACATGCTTCAACATCTTACTGCACTCAAATAAAAAAAAAACCTAATGCTGATTAAAATAAATAATTATATATATAAATAATTTGTTGCCATGATTAATTTTTTGTGTAAGCATCTATCAGAATTTTGATTAAACCACTGGTAATATACAATATTGATCATACTCACATGCTGTTTGATTGTTAATGCTTTCATTTTAAATTAATGAATACACATGCACACATTTATGTACCATGTGTTTCAAAAGTCACGTCTGCTGTTCAGATGACAGTTCAGGAAGATGTTGGACTCACTGTTGTAAAACTTGGTGTGTCTGGACCAAGATAACCATGTGGATGGCAATGTACGCTCATGGTTAACATGTAGTGTGTCCATCATGTCATCATAATGTACCACACTACTGTAGCCTTCTGCTTGATAAAATTGGTGTTCATGCTGAATTTCACAACACTATATCCACCAGTTTCCTTTCCTGAATACAGTCATCTGAACAGTGGAAGTGTCATCTGAAACATCCGATACAGATATATCAACATATTTCTTTAATTCTATACTCTGTTACTTACAGTTTATAGAGTTTCCAGAAAATTTTTCATGATAGTTCACAAGGCTCTACTCAACAAGTTTACTTTATGAAATAGTAAGACCTTGATTTATCAGATATATGCTCTCAGAAAACACAAATTTATAATTACTTCCTAACCCTTCACAACAGTAATTGTCTTAGATATTGTTAGCACACACTCTCAGTTTATAACAAAATTTTTATTTCTATCAATATTTCTGTACTATCTTTCTAATGTTGTGTGCCATTACATAAAAAACTCAAACAAATTAAAGTTTGACACTAAATGCACATAAAATTCTGAGTTATACCATGTCCAAATCATATATAAAGATAGGTTCACTGTGGTGAGTAAAAGACAACTCAAAATGTCATTTATACAATATACGCTCCACCACTATATGAAGCCTAATTTTCCACTTTGCCCTTGTCCAAGGATCCTGATTACGGTAGGAATTCCCCAAAACAAAGATAACTCAATGACAAGTGGTGAATCATATGATAGATTGGTCTTTGTAGTTATTTTTACTATAAGAGAAACCTATATTCTTACAATGAAAAACTGTCAGAAAATGCTAAACTGCAGATACAAATTGGGTACGAGTTGTGAATCCAATGTCTGGTACACCAACATGACTTCTATTGCCACTTTTAAGTAAAATGTACTGAACCAATGTCAGCAATATATGTAGAAGTTTACATTTTGCTTATTACCACTCTACATATTCAAATGAAAATAGCAGTAACATGAGTGCATAAAAAAAAATTAGCATTTAATGATAAACTCGTATTAAAATAGAAAGTTGGCATTTTGTTGGTTTAGTTTTTTTGAGGAAGTAATATCAGTAGCTTACCTTTTTTCTCTCTCCAGAGAAAAATCTCATCCCTGTCTCTCTGTAGTAACTTTACTAACAAAATTAAATTTTTTAAACTTACTATTAATATTTCTACAGATGTTGTTTAGTTTCTAACTGTAAATACAAGAGCTTTTGATTTTTATTGTTAGAAATATGACAGACAAGTTGCCTTTTTTCACACAAACGAAACAGTACTCTGAAGTGCCAGTTCATGAAAACATACAACTATTCCCATGATTTTTTTTATTTTACTCCAAATCATACATTTTAATTTTTCTCCAATTACCAACTATTTTCTTCCCAACATGAAAATCATAATTGTATAGTGAAATGATAAATAGTTAGTCTATTTTTTTATGATAAATTCTACTTTTAAATTTTTAGTATGATGAAAAAAAAAATGAAAACATGATAGAAAATTTATATTCAAACAGATTGCACTTCATCATCTGGTATGTTCATATTTTTGTAAAACAATATAATATTCTTACAAAAACATTTAACTTTAATTCTTAAATTGACATTATCTTATGTTCTTCAAAGCAAATATATGAAAATTAAGTTGCAATACCTCAAACTCTTTACAGGCCCTGTCCCACTTTGTGTTGAAGATAAACTTTGGTCAGGAATAGGAGAAAGACTTGTATCTGGAGTAGCATTCAATGACCGAGTCACACTTCCCTCTGTAATTAAAAAAAATTAAACCTTTATGTAACATACAGCCTTCACAAGAATTATAAATACCTGAGTAGTTATTTCTTTAATAATAGTAGAACAAAATATTGCACTAATGCAATATTTCCTAATACTTGTCTCATACTTTAAGAAATAAATATTATTTAGTTTTGTAATGATAAAAATCTGATTAACTTGGTGCATGGTAAAATATTTTTATTACCAATAATGTAAAAGCAACTGATTACACAGCATAGTCTACACACAAAATAACACATATGGCTACCAATATTTTAAGACCTGAGAAGTAGTTTTTTCACTCCTGCTACATCTAAACAAAACTATTCAATCTGAACTGAACCTTAAGAATACTTAAATGTGTGCTTAACCAGCAATATTTATTATAATAAATGTACAAGCAAATTATACATTTAAAGATACCCAGTAATTTGAAAGAATCATACTCAAAAATGAACCATTTAATGAATGATTTGCCCAAATAAATTCACCATGCAAGGTATCAAACTCAAAAGATAGTGTTTTGCAGATTCACACACATTTAGTTAGAGCCAATTTCCCATAATAACATGGTTCAAGTCATCATGCTAACAAATCTTCGTCAGAGTTGGAATAAATCTTTACTGGTTTTTGACAGGCTTTTATGAAGTTTTGAGGATGATTCTTTGTAGTATTCTGGATATCTATATTAAATTTTTTCACAAAATGTATAGGTGCAAATAAGTTGTTTCCCTGTCTGTTTTTTCCCTCCCAGTTTTCTTCTTGTTGTTGTTTGTTTGTAGATGAAGTGTCAATAACATACTATGTTATTTGGATATTGCAGTCCAGTTCTATTTTTCTGTTTTAATATTTAGGTAATACTTGAAAACATGTTTCTATTTACTGGAAAACAGACATTACCATACTCTTTTATATTGGGTTGGATGGAGAGTAGATGCATATATAAATTTAAAAGAAAGATATGCATATATCTTATTTTGTTTGGGGCTTGAATGCTTACTAAAACTTCAAACATTACTTCTTATTTGTGTAGATTTTATTTTGATGTTCTGGTCGTAGTTAAAGTCTAGTTGACTAGGCCTCCTCCGAAGTAACTGTCATCAGGTTACTCACCTGGTCTTCTGTGAGGCAAGACCACTTTGTAGTTTTGGGGAGACAAATCACACTCATAAGAATCACTTGTAACTAGCACAACTGAAGAAAGCACTAAAAATCCTGGGTAGACATTAGTTCAGTCCCCAGGTAAATGTTAACTTCCAAACATACCTCTGCTAACACTATAGCTAGAATCCCACATTGAGAAGGTTGAGGTGCCAGTGCAGGCATGAACCATACAGAAAGCTTCTGTATAGAACAGAAGTTAACAAAAATTATTTAGAATCACACAATATCAATGTCATTTACAAAATAATATGCAATAACTGCCCAGAATTCTACGTCGGAGAAACAGGAAGAAAATTGGAAACCAGATTGACAGAACACAATAAAACACCGT